GGACCCTCTGCCAGCAGGTTACACGCGGGGAGGGTGGTCCAGGGCGGTTCCGCGTCACGTGCTCCCACATTTACAAGTGAGATGTTATTCTTTATTTTTTATTATTTAAGCACATGTTCGTTTTAAAAGTCAAATGTGAAGAGCCCGGCAGAACCTCTCCCCCAAAGAAACACCCAGCACGTCGGTCAGAATTAGCAAAGGAGCCACTAAAAGAAGCATTTATTCCACAAAACCTGTGGAAACTCGGAGACAGCAGAGGCCCTGGCCTTCGAGGTCAGGGTACAGCCGCCCAGCTCTGGGGCGTGGAGAAGCCACTCTGGTGGCAATGCCTGTGCTCCCAGGTTCTGGGCAGCCAGGGAACTTCAGCCAGAAGGAGAGGAGAGAGAGCAGAAAAAATATCCGAAGGAATAATGGCTGAAAACTTCTCACATTTGATGAAAAGCAATAATCTCCGTATCCAGGAAACTTCACAGTCCCTAGAGGATAAGCACAAACAGATGCACATCTAGACACATCACAGTCAAAATACTGAAGCCCAATATTTTGGGCTTCAATTTTTTTAAGAAAATGTTTTAATTGTAAAACTAGCTTGAGGGAAGGGAGGGGTGGGCTATGTCCAGGGGCCAGAAACCTGATTCTTCGAGCAGAGGCCCTGTCCCTGGTGCCACCCCGCAGGACAGGGCCCTCAGTCCCCAGACGGGGGCTAGAGTGTTACAAGATGACAATATAAGCAGATTCTGGGAAAGGGGAGGCTGTCCAAGTGCAGGAATCACGTTCTGCAGAGGCTGGAAGTGGGCAGGAAGCCCAAAGACAAAGAGAAAGTTTTGAAAGCAGTGAGAGAAGAATGACTTGCCCCGCACAGGGAGCCTCAATCACAGCGACAGCTGATTTCTCATCAGAAACGGTGAGCTGGCAGGACACAACAGGTGACACGTTCAAAATACTGAAAGTAAAAATCTCTCAACCGAGAGTCTTATATCCAGCAAAACTATCCCTCAGAAATGAAGATAAAATAAAGATTCTTTGCAGGTAAACGAAACTGAGAAGGTTTGTTGCTGGTAGACCTGCCGCACAAGCAACGCTGCAGGACTTTTTTTGAGCTAAAAGCACACAACCCCAGACAGTAATTCAAGTCCGCACATGCCCACAAACCAAGAGCACCAGTAAAGTAAGTATTTACTTAATTACAGAGACAGTATAATTCCACATTTCTCCTTTTTTCCCCTAGCTGACTTAAGAAACAATTGCAGAAAACAGTATCTATAAAATTGTACCGTTGGGCCTTTAACACATGACTGTACGATACTTGATAACAGAGGCACAGGCAGGGGAGTGGCACTGATGCTCTGTCGGAAACGACAGCAGATGAAACCTCAAACCCACAGAAAGAAACAGAGAAAGTTAATAATAATAAATAGATGGGTAAACATAAAAAAGTCAGTAAACATGTATTTGCTTGCTCTGTGTCCTCTGAAGGCGGGGGCCCTCCTCCCAGATCCCCTCCTCTGCCCCCTGGAAACCACACCTGGACTTTGCGCACTTTATTGCCCCTTACATTTTATCTCCTACCTACACACTGCACTGTTTAGTTCCGTACTGTTTTTAAGGCCGATAAGTGGAATCGTACCGAATGCGTTTTCTACGACAAGCGTTTTCCACGCAGCTTTGGGTGCAGCCGCTGAGGCTGTCGCCCAGACCGTTTTAGGACCAAACAGCGTCTGGTCACACATGTCTGCTTATTGCAGGGGGAATCGGGGTTGTCTGCAGTTCTGTTTGTTTTTGGCTGTTATAGAGATCGCTGGTGTAAACATTCTTCTGGGGTCTCCTGGCACAGGGGTTTGCATTTCACGGGAAACACTCGTATTGGGACGGCGCCCACGCACAGTGAATGAAGACACTCGCGGCCAGAGGCAGCAGGGGCTTGGTTGAGGCCTGAGGGAGGCCCCGCCGGGGTACACCTGCTGCCAGGGTGCGGCACCCCCCGCTGGGGGACCCTCCAGGCACAGACGCAATGCAGTTGGCCAGATCCTGCCAAGTCACCTCCCCAGGCGGCTGCATCAAAGTCTGCTCCCACCGGCAGTGGGCGGGGGTCCTCGGGAGGGAGTAGTCTTCTCTGGGGGTGCAAGTACTTGTGGTTTTAATTGCACTCCCCCGATTCCTAGCATGGCTGAGCCCCTTCCCTGCGTTCGAAGCCCAGTCATGTCTCGTCTTCGTGGGGCACCGGTTCCTGGTTCTTTTGCCATTTTCCCGTTGGCCCCTTAGCCGTTCTCGCTGCATTTTAGGAGCTCTTCACACGTGTGGGGATCGGCCGTTCATTGGTCGTGCTGCAATTATACCCCTGGTCTGTGGCTTGTTCTGGAAAGTTTCAGGGTCTTTTGACGCTTCTCTCAATGAGGCAAATTTCTCAAGATCTTTTCTTCGTGGCCTGTGGATTCTGAGCCTTGCTTGACAAATTCCTTTCTTCCCCAGGGGTCGTATCAATATCTTCTGACATTTTCTCCCCAAAGTTTTCCATTTGGTTCTGACATGTAAGGGCTCATCCTTCTGGAACTGGTCCTGCCCTTGCCGAGAGGGGGGGTCTCCTTTGTCGGTTTTCACTCGCATCTGCTTCCAGGTACCAGACTGTGCGCACGAGCACAGATTCTCCACAATCCTTGATTCCGGAGGCCGGGGCCCCTGGTTTTATTCTCCTTTAGGGGCATCTGATGTTCTTGCCCAGCTGTTTCCCTCCTACATATAAGAGTCATGACGGGATTTTGGTTAGAATCGCCTTGACTCTTCAAACGGCTTTAGGATTTTGAGTCCCCCTGGGCACATTGAGTTCCTCTCTCTTTTAGGTCTTCTTTAATATCTCAGTCACATTCAAAATTTTCTTTATTTGCATCTTTCATTTTGTCGTGTATGTCCCTGGGTACCTGTACATGTTGCTGCTAACTTATAGGATAGCTCTTAAAATTACATTTCTTTAACATTCTAAGCAATAGAGTTTATATATTGTACTGTTATCTAGCACGGTGGCTGGGAGGCCTGGCCACCTGGGGGTAACAGGGTGGGCTTCCCTGCAGCCCTGTGAGCAGCTTCATTAGGATAATTCAACTTGTCACAAACTTGCTTTGAGAACTTTCTATTCTCAAGCCCCAAGCCGGCTCTGTGGATGGGAAGACGTGAGTCTGTGTGAAATAATGTCCCAGAAGGCATCTCCCTAACTTTCCAAGAGGAGAATAGGCCACATCTGGAAGAAATACAGACACAAGCCCCACGAGTGTGGACTTGCAGGCCCGGAAGTGACCGTCCTCACCCAGCTGCAGCCTGGACCACACGGAGGCAGAGGCCAGGGGTGGCCTCCCTTCTCGCCTCCCTCCCTCCCGGCCAGGAGCAGGTCACACTGAACAGCAGCGAGCGGGCAGTGGCCACGTCAGCTAAGCCCTTGGACACCTGCTGGGGCCACATCACCTGCAGGAGAGAAGGGACAGGATGGGGCCGCCGGGAGCTGCTCCCAGGCAAACACCGCGGAGTCCGAGGGGGTCCGGCCCTGAAAGCGGTCGGTTTGTTACCTCCCGCTGAGGGTGCCCGGCTGGGCCTGGGGACTGATTGACTGAGACAGACCAACAGTAGATTGATTTAAGACAAGTTTTATGGGTCACGGGAGCCGCATAAGGAGAGGAAGACCCAAAGGCGCAGCAGAACCGAAACACCTTCCTACCTGGTAGAGAGAGACCATCATGGGGAATAACTAACTGTCCAGGAGGTGAAGCGGGGTGAGAGGCACTTTCACGAGTCTTCTTGCTGAGAGTCCTCTTGGCCCAACGCCCCGTCGCTGGTGGTATGAAGGCTTCTTTCCTCCTGGTGCCAGGAGGGTGTCTTTCCCATGGCTTCCCCTCCTGCCTTCAGAGAAAGGAGCGGGGGTCAGCAGGCCCATCTTGTACCTGCTGCTATTTAAGAGCCTTTGACTCAAAATAATCCTTACGCCAGAGGGCTTGTTCCGGGGGTTCCACAAAACTAATAATAAGAGTAATGCTCATTTGTAAACTGTAAATAATACTTATTTAAAAATTCCACTTGGAGCCAAAATTCTTGACAAAATAATGTGGAAAGTCTGGACGGGGGCTCTAGTGTAAGTTAAAACACACTAGATTCTTCTCTTGTTGCAAGGAAGTAAAGACACACAAAATAAGTTCAGAATCTTAGAAAATACAATGTTAAGTATGCATGTTAAACATTTTAAAAGTCAATACTAAAAGAAAGAAATAGAATGTGTAAATTGCAAACTGGCTGAGAAAAAGAAGAAAATAAACTAAATTTGCTCAATCTAATAAAAGGTAGGAAAGGCAAAAAAAAGAAAAACACGGTTGTTTTAAATTATGCTGTACGATGGAAGAAATTCCTTCAGACGTATCACAGTGACTCAGAAGGAAGGCAGGTGAAATGCATTAACTCATGACACTTATGAAATGTATTAATCCATTAATTCTCAAAGAGATAGAAACTCTCATATTGGGTAGATATACAGATTCCAGCCATGTGCTGTTTCCAAGTGACATTGAAAGTAAAACAGCACAGAAAAGTAAAAAATACAAGGATAGGAGAACGTACACCAGGTGTCATGGTTTGAACTGTGTCCCCAGAAGACGCATCCCCTTCCTCGTCCCAGAACCTGAGAACTTGGCCTCGTTTGGAAGCAGGGTCTTTGCAGATGCGGTCAAGATGAGTCATGCTGGCCCTGGTGGCCCTCATAAGAAGAGGGAAATTTAGACACAGAGATACAGAGAAGACAGGCGGGTGGAGACGGAGGTGCGGTCGGTGAGCTGCGGCCACAGCCCCCAGGAGACGGCGAGGCCGGAGACCCCTCCCCCGGAGCCCCAGAGGGCGCAGCCTCCACACTGTGAGAAAATACATTTCTACGGCTTTGAGCTGCCCCGTCCGTGTAACTCATTATAGCAACCCTAGGAAATGTAATCAAACAGGAAAGAATGGAGCAGAGTTTACAGCCAAAAGCCCTGATGGACTCACACCAGGCCCCTACCCACCCCCCACCCCCAGTGAAGGAGCTGCCGCCATCGGGCCGAGGTAGAAGGACACCCGGGTGGCATCGCTGGTGACCTGGGGACATGGCTGCTGGCCCTGGGCGGGCGCAGGCACCTGAGCGAGCAGGACACACGTCCGTCCAGGCCTTGGTTTCTAAAAACCATCTCTGCTGGTTTGAGAAGGAATCGGGGCTCCTTGGAGACATGGCTGGTCTTGGGTGGGGCAGAGAGAGGGTAAGTGGGAGCCTGGTGCTCAGAGAAGGGCAGGAGCTGGCTCCACACCGGCCCCTCCTGCCAGCCGTGCGCCCACGTGAGCATATAAATGAACAGTCATGACAGGTACAGGCCACAAGCTACAGAATAAGATGAGAATCCACAAGTGCTCACTGAAATAAACACATGAAAAAATCAAGGGGTAAGGGAGAAAGCTCTTCCTTGGAGCAGAAAGCAAATAACTATAGAAGGAATGAGGAAATTACAAAATCACCGTAACGGAAGTCAGGTTAGTAACTGTTTTAGTCAAGGATCATCGAATAATGTTAAAACTCGTGGGTTAAAGTTTAATGAGAAAGAGGAAACTTAACATAGTCCCCAAGAGTATCCCCAGAAGATGGTAACCTCTCAGTGGAAAACTTGGTAGACGTCACGTTTGCTGGGTGCTGAACAACCGCGACGTTCCCAGTGGTGGGACAAACGGGCCTCAGGAAACTCCTGACTCCACACCTGACGAAGGGCTCAGAAACAAGGGTGTGGAGTTCCTGCCAGGGGTGCATAACTTGAATCTGATCGGGGGAAACATTGGACAAACCCAAACTGAGATGCATTTTACAAACTAAGTGGCCTGTACTCCTCAAAGCTGTCAAGTCAGGAAAGGCAAGAAATAGGTTAAAGAAGCATAAAAACCAAGTATAAGACGTGACCCTGAGCAATCCTGGGCCGTACGTGTGTATATATATATATTGCTATAAAGGATATTATTGGGACAATTGATGACGTTTGAATATGTTCTGTAGATTAGACAGTGTTATCCAGTCAGTGTTAATTTCCTGATGTTAATTATGATACTTGGTTAAGTAGATTACCTTGATTACCAGAAATACACAGTGAAGCCTGACCCTGGTCCCACAGAGCTCTGGGGTCTGAATGTCCCTTGGAAATGAGAGCATCAGCCTTTGTGACCCCCTACTAGTCCCTCCGTGGTGGCTGCAGCTGCCCCACCCGTGGGCCTCGCCTCCCAGGCATGCGTGGAGGCCACGTCCATCGGTCAGGGCAGTTCTCCAAAGCAGGTGCAAATGTGAGCCTCCAGCGCTGGGGACGCTGTGCTGGCCCATGAAGGGGTCTGAGCTGGACACCATCAGGCCTGCTACAGCTTACCATGTCCACGACACAGCACGTGCGGGTGACCAATGCCACCGATAGGAAAAGCCACAGAGACACAAGACCTGGGGAAGGAGGCTAGGCAAACAACTGGAACCCGCATCTGTTAAACCGAGAAGAATTCAGGATAGTTTCATCAAGTGTCATGTTGTGAAATCAGCATACAGAAACTACTAGGGCGTGTAGAAGGGATAGTCCCATTTGCAGCAGTAAAATGAGACAGAGTAGAATAAAGTAAAATAACAAGACGCACAGGCATAGACTTCACAAGACCTGCCCAGAACATGTGAGGAAAACCATGAAACGCTCCTGAGGGGGGTCCCTCCCCCCTGCCGTTCCTGGCTGCCGGGCCCCCTCCTCCCCCCGTGGGGGCGTGAGCCCAGCTCTGGTGCCTGGGGGTGGTCTCGAGGCCTCTGTGCCCAAGTTCCTTGTCTGAAAAGAGAGGTGACGCGGTGGTGCCAAGTCCCAGGGCCCCCGTGCAGACGGGCGAGCTCACAGGCCGGGGTCTGCGCTGTGACGCGTGTGGCTGGCCCTGGGGGTGGGGCAGGTCCCCCCAGCCCTTGCAGCCACTCTCCCGCCCTCTTCCGCGCCTCCTCTTGGTGGGGTGGGCGGGCTGCCCTGAGAGAAGCCCCGGGTCACTGCCCTTCAGGCCTCCTGGGGCCAGAGGGGCCGGCCTGGCTCCACCTGCTGACCTGACCCCCGGGGTTGGGAGCCCAGGGGAGGAGCCGGGGGATTGGCCCCCGGGGCGCCCACTGCGGCCCGGAGGAGTCTCCAAGCTCCTCAGATCCCAGGTGGGAAAGGGAGAGAAAGGCTCCCCTGGGGCAACCGTGGCATGACTCTGAGGACACGTGCACTCATGTGAGGCCAGTGAAAACCCTGGTAGTGGGTGGCGTCAGAAGGCCCCACTGCCTGAGGCCTGGGTGGGCCTCTGGGGCCAGGCTAACCCGGCCGTGCTGCCTCTCTGGCAGTACTGGGACCAGGGGATGGTCAGGGGTCAGCCACACAAGTCCCCTGTCCCCAGAGGAACCCTCGACCTGCTTCCAGATCTCCGGGGCCTGGGTAGACCAGGCAACATGCTTCCTGCGGGGCTGTCCCTCCTGAGCCGGACTGTCCTGCATGAGGCCCCGACGGGCAGCAGAGGGCGCCCCAGGCCCTGCGCACTCACGCGTCCCAAGCGATCACCTACTGTTTCTGCAGTCATTTCCCGTCCTGGGATGTCCGGGGTTTGGCTGGAGGGAGGGGGCTGGGCTGACCCCTCTGGGTGGAGCAGAGGCGGGGGCCCTGGGACAGGGCCTGGGCCTGGCGGAGTTAGGGGTCCACAGACAGAGCCCCGCTGCTCTGGGCCAGTGGCGCCCCTGGGCGCCTGGCTCTGCGCGTGGGGAGGACACTGGCCCAGCCCTGGGCTCACGGAAACCCCTCGGTCCCAGTGCCGAAGCCCGGGGTCTCCGCCTCCTGGTTGGGGGCTCTGAGGCCGGGGCTGGGGGCCTTCCCTTCCCTCACCTTTGGGAGGGGCTTCCCTCTGGGGCTCCCCAACGGTGGGGCCCCGGACCCTTCCCACCCTGTGGCCCAGGACAGGCTGGACCACGTCCCCCCAGCCTGGCCCAGGCCCATTGGCACGCAGTGGCGAGGGAAGGCTTTAATGGTGCCTCTTTAGAATGATTTTAAACTGCAGGCCGCTGGAGGCCTTTTTCCCTGGAACATCAGTGTCTGTTCTCACACACACTCTGGGGTTTGACTGGGTGGCTCAAGGCCCAGCAGCCTCGGCGTGTTTCTGAGAACTCAGATGTTCTCCCGAGCACTCCACGCCTTTCACGATGTGAAGCAAACGTGGGGCAAGTGGGAGCCAAATGTGGAATTGTGCTCAGGAGGGCGCGTCCACCTGGACCCGTGTCCATGGCACCCTCAGCCTCACGCCCTCAACGCTGTTGTCATTACCCTCCTCCAGCTGCCAACGCTGAGCATGTCGGGGTTTCTCGGGACAGTTTTCGGAGCTGGAGTACCTTGCCCGAGGTCACTTGACCAGCAGGGGACAGAGCTGGGCCTCTCCCGGTCTGACCACCCCTGCTCTCCTGGGGTCCTGGGTCTCAGGGTACACCGGCCGGATGCCAGCAGCTTCCCAGAGCCTTGGTACAGTCAGGCCGAGGGTCAGAGGATCTCGGTGGCCCCCACAGATGCCGTGGTCCTGGGTCTCAGGGGAGGAAGCCAGGGTCGGGGCTTGCCGGGCCGGGCCCTCAGTGACCCGGGACTGAGGTCATCCTGCACCTGGCCACCTGGGGGGAGCATTCC